CGTGGCAGGAGGAGCCGGGATCGAACCAACAACCTTCCGATTGGGGGACGACCCGCTCTGCCTCTGACCCACAGCCGCCCCATAAGTGAATTATGAAAAGCCTCAAGCTTGAATTGCTCCCATATCCAATCAAAACACATTCAGTATAGTAAATATCAACTGGATGTTATTCAAGTTATCCAGTCTCTGAATGCCCCATCCCGAATGAAGCATGTCAGTTGTAATCATGTTGCTGGCAAAGCATTTACATCTTTCTGTGACTGCCTTGTTTATGTCCAGGTATAGAATAATTAGAGACCCTGCAGGCTGGCTGAATGTGGACAAAGAGTCAGGCCTGATTAAGGTGAAAAGCGTCATGGACAGAGAGTCCTCCTTCGTCAAGGACAACAAATACACAGCACTTATTGGAGCATATGACAATGGTAGGTAGGAAGAAAGACTTGGTTGTAAATGCTCATCTTGTTTGCATACTGAAGAGCCCAAAAAAGTGAATATAAGTGAATATAATCTTACTGCTTCCCTAGAACTGATTGTAATTTGCTCTCCTTATGTATTTTGTGTATGTCTCTCACCTCACCAGATGAAGTCCCAGCCACAGGAACTGGTACTTTAATTATCCAGCTTATAGATGTCAACGACAATGCACCCACCATTGACGAACGTGAACTCAAAGTGCGTCTCCTTTCTGAAACATTTAATGGTTCTCATGTTTTTTAGCAATCTTAATTTGACATTTAGAATGTACATGTTTTGGGAGCAGAATCAGTACTGTATGATTATGAAATATACTGATATTGAAGATGTGACTAAATTAATTAATTCAAATCAGTAATTAAATAATAACTTTAGAGGTGAAAGTAACCAAAACCCAGTGGTTTGCAATAATATAATCCGTATAAACAAAGGTTCTGACATTGTTTTCTCAGGTGTGTAACAAGAATTCGGCTTCTCAGCTGCTGTCGGTAACAGATAAAGATGGTTCACCATATGGTGCTCCATACAGCGTTTCTTTACAGGGCTTGTCGAAGAACAACTGGACCGCTCGGATGAACGACTCCAGTATGTAAACTATTAATACTCAACTGAAAATGAAACCTTTTCTTTATACACATTGCAGGCCATTCAATCAAATAACCAGTGCCCAGAGAAACAAAAAAAACAAAAAAGAAAAAAACAAACATTTAAGTTTTTAAACATTAGCAGAAAACCCCCACAATATATAATTGGATCAAGAAAGAGTGTAAAAAGATTTTAAACTGTTCGGTGCTGAAGGTTTTCTTCTAATTGTCTGTCACTGATGTTCTGCTCAGATAACCACAAGAAGGTCAATGTTATTGGCCTTTTTAATTTAATAAATCTGGTACAGGCCGTTTACAACGCAAAGTAAGTTCAGAAACCTAAATAAGTTTCAGGTATTAGGTCAGTTGAGCTAAGATTACAAATCATTTGCTGCATTTTAAATTATTTAAGTTTAGGGAAGATGATCATGGCACTGCCTGAGGAGAACACCTCAGTGGGGGAAAAAAAGCACCTGTTTAAGCATATTTATTAGGAAGCTAGGTTTGATTCAGCAAAGATAAAGCACACAACAATTATTTGTGAACTTAAGTCCACAGTCTACCACTGAGTGTATCACTATATTGTTGGAATTAGACAAAATGATGAAGTAAATGTTCATCATATGTTTTTGTTGCAGAAACGGGCATCCTTCTGAATTTAGCCACTGAGCTGGCCAGTGGAAAGTACACTGTGGTCCTGAGGGTTTCAGACGCTCTGGGCCTAGAGCAGGACAGCACTGTCCAGGCTACAGTCTGCGACTGCAGTGGGGAAGAAGTCATCTGCAAAGGGCGTGTGGCAGGTGGCTCTGAACTGCCTGTAATCCTGGGGATACTGGGAGGGATCCTATTGCTGCTCAGTAAGTCTGACATTAGATTTGTGTTAATGTTAATTGTTGCCCAAGGACACTTTGACATGCAGCGAGAGGAGCTGGGGATCGAACCAACAACCTTCTGATTAGTGGACGACCCGCTCTACCTCTGAGACACAGCCCAAATAGGCAAATGTGGCACGTAGTGTAAAAGTGCTTTGAGTGGTCGGAGGACTAGAAAGGCACTATACAAATACAGTTTACCATTTAAATATGGAAAGATGCTGATCTTAATTCATTCAATCATGTGGATGTGTTGTGTTGTATTAAGTTTGTGCTCTGTATGTTCAGTGCTGGTGTTGCTGCTGCTGTTGTTTGCAAGACGGAGAAGAGGAGAGAAGAAGGAGCCTCTACTGCAGGACGATGACATCAGAGACAATATCTATTACTACGATGAAGAGGGAGGCGGAGAGGATGATCAGGTAAATTATTACAGATGTAATAGGCATCATACCATAACCTAAAGTTATCAAGGTAGTATCAAAGTCTGAGATCAGTGTTTCCCAAACCTTTCCCTTAAGGGGACCCGTTTTGTATCATTGAGTGAACTGACGAGCCCTGACTAAGTACTGCTGCATTAAATATAATATGAAATGTCCATAGAATAAGACAACTGAGTACAGAACAACTAATATAAACTAAGTCTCTGTAATAATTGTATTAAATGAAGTGTCCTTTTCCTTGATGCTTGGCCATTGTTCTATTAGCTCTAACTACATATTTTTTAAAATCAGGATGAGGCTGTTTAGCATCTTTAAAAAATAATCTTAACTTAGTTTTCTTGCATTAATGAACCAAATGCTGATCTATAGGAGCCCCCTTTCCCCTGTGAAGCTTTGCTGAGTCCTAGTGGGGGTCCGAACCCCCAAGTTCAAATTCATATTTCTGTATAGATTTGTGTAAAGACATATAGATAATTCTGTATAACTTACTGTATAAATATTCTCTATCATTCTATTTAGATTTTGCATATCATCATATGTATACCTGACATAAAAATCTAATTAAAGGTTTAGCATCTTTTGTGTAACCCCCCAACATGTGTTCTACATCAGGACTATGATCTGAGTGTTCTTCACCGTGGTCTGGACAACCGGCCTGAGGTGTTCAGAAATGATGTGGTGCCGAACTTCATGCCAGCTCCACAGTACCGACCTCGCCCCGCCAACCCAGAGGAAATCGGCAACTTCATTGATGATGTGAGTCAAAGATTCAAGCGCTCATACAAACTAAACAAAAATCTAACATGGAGAAAAAAGTAAATATATTTGTTTGAACTCTTACACAATCCCATGTTGCCAAATTCATAACATTTTCAGTAATCTCCAAGTGATATAGCGGGTGTCTGTGGCTCAGAGGCAGACAGTACGTGTGGAAATATCCGTGAGCAAGATACTGAACCCCAAATTGCTCCCGAGTGCATCGGTGTATGAATGAGTTAGTTCCTGTGCAATGGGCTTTGCCATCACTGAATGAATGTGTGTGAAAGGGCGAATTTGGTGTGTGTGTGTGTGTGTGTGTCAATTTGCCCTCAAAGTTGATGTGTTAGAAGCAGGAAAAATGGGCAGCACAATGATTTGACATCACTGAAAGTTGATTCTCATTGTTCCCTGTGTTCATGGTGAGTACCTATTAAAAATAGTCCGAGGAAGGAAAAGCGGTGAACCGGCAACAGGGTCATGGGTGGCCAAGGCTCATTAAGGCACTTGGGAAGCAAAGGCTGGCCCATGTGGTCCAATCCAATAGACGAGCTACTGTAGATTAAACTGCTGAAAAAGTTAATGCAGAACACAGTGCATCAGTTTGTTGCGTATGGGGCTGCATAACATTATGATCACCTGGGCACCCATTATGGTTATGTTATGGCTGATCTGTGTATAACCTCTGCTTCTCCTCTTAGAACCTGAAGGCAGCTGACAATGACCCGACGGCACCCCCCTACGACTCCCTGTTGGTGTTTGACTATGAGGGAGGCGGCTCTGACGCAGGAAGCATCTCCTCCCTGAACTCATCGAGCAGCGGAGACCAGGACTACGACTGCCTCAGCGAATGGGGACCCCGTTTCAAAAAACTGGCTGACATGTATGGAGGAGGAGAAGATGAAATGCTGTAAATGTACTAAAGAACAAACAATATGGTGGCTGCAAATATGGCTTTGTGAATGTTAAACTGATATGTAAACATGACTAAGCATACAAGCCAGACATCAGTCAGCTCACAGATTTTGTGGCTTATCTTTCAGTTCAGTTCAGTCTGTTATCAGTTAACAGTCACTGCTCAGAAGCCAGGGATGAGTTTGCTTTTTTTTATTTTTATATACGAGTTCCCCAAGACTGCCTGTCTTTTAGATCCCTGTTTGACTTCTAGGCACTAGAAGTCAAACACTATTGATGCTTTATGGATTTTGTGCAGATATTTTAGCATGTGTTCTAGCTTATTGGATGTGACTGGACATGCACAAAGATGCTTGCAGTTGCACTGTAACATTTGTGTAATTTTGGCAATGTATGGTACTTTTAATTTTTTCAGTTTTTTGTGGAATTTGGTTTTTGCTTCAAATTACTTTGTTTTGTATTTCTGTTTGAGGAATGAAATAACAAATGATCAAGGTGAAATCCAGGTAGCCAGCCAACATTGCCCTATGAGGGTGTGGTCAATGAGTTTTGAATAAATGCTTTTTAAAAGGTTCAGTTGTTCAAATGTTCAATTGACATCCTCTTCACGCTCCTCAACACTTTTTGCAGTTACCTTTTAAAGATACTTTCATAAAAAAAGACAATTCTAAATTAAACAAGCATTTGTAAGAGTTATCTTAATTACAATGATACACTGAACGCTGGAAAAATTACAATCCTATTTAGAGTAACGTCACGATTCTATATTTTAGTTGGACCACTATGGACCACTGACCTGTGAGGGTCATGTTTTTTTACTTTTCCAGTGCTTTCAACACAGACAGTCATGGACTGTGGATCTGTTAGTGAGATAGTTAATGCTCCATTCAGCCATGTGGCAGTCTGTGTCTCTGCAGCACAGGGGCCCCAACGGGGTACAGTGCTCTTAAATAGGTGGGCTTTTTAAGAGGTTTTATACATCCAAAAAACTAAAATCCAAAGCAGGCATCTAACCTTTGTTATAACATGTAGCTACACTAGGCTAGTAAAGTGGGATGCTGCTTTAAAATTTTTAAGTTTTATGTATATACATATCTTTTACATAAAACAATATAATATTATTAGAAGAAATAGATTATATTATACCTGTACTGGGCATATATAATAATAAATATAATTACAATACAATACAACTCAGGGCGTGCTGTGGCTGCATCATGTGCAAGTGTAACGTGCAGACCGCAAAATTAATATTGGAACTTGCGTTTAAGCCAGGGCTCTTAAAAAACTTGTAAAGTTTGTGTGCAAATGGAGAATCTGTATTGCAGTTAGGCAGATTGAGCAGCAACAACCCAACATCAAGAAAGTTTACAGCAACTTCAATGACAATATTTAAAATTTGGATTGAATTGAGAGTAAATTCTAATTCTACTTTTTGTAGAAAATTTGTAGTATGTAAGACACTAAATTACATAGTTGGGTATTTGGGTTTCCAGCTGTACAAACACACACTTAGACACCTGTGATTCAATTTAAATGTGAAAGAAATTTCCTGACAATAACAGAAATTTATTCAGTAATTAAAGACAAAAAGTTGCTATTTGATGTGTTTTTTATTTAATAATGACATAGTAAATGTATATATAAAATGGAAATACATACAAATGTATGTATGTATGTATATTTCACTAAATGTCTTTGATTTGATGATGTACAATCATTGTGAAAATAGAGCCATCACAATTTTCCTATTGCTGGGGCTGGGTCAGGAAAAGTAATTAAATTGCATGCTGCTTATTTATTTTGGGGCAGTTGTCTCTGCTGTAAAACTCATGAGTGGATTATTTTTTACCCTTAAATGAGAGTTAACCTCACTGTAGGTGCCGATATAAAAAATATTAAACATGACAAAATCTACATAATCCAGGTTTTTGCGGAATTGACCATTTTATCAATATAGCGAAACTGTACAGTTTTGACTTTCCCTTTTTTGCACAAAAAACGCACTCTGCCACATCCATCATGCTTTTTCTGATCATTCGAACTCTGGTAGTGACCACTAAGAACTCTGGTAGTGACCACTAAGTCACTACCAGTAGTGTCACGTGAGTAGTGTCACGTGTCACTTTCTTCAAGCAGGAGAAAGTTTCTGTTCCTGGCTTTTACTTTGTCACAGTGTACAGTGCTGAGTACATTATGTTGGTTTATATACGCAAGGAACTGGCTGGCATTGATCCACTAAACAAAATGCATTCCACACTTTTGTGATGTTTAAAATGTATGTACATCTGGATCAAAACTCAAACCTACGTTACGTATTAGGAATCTACTCTGATCCCTAGTTGTTACACGGCACACAGGAGGTAAAGATGGAGGTGGGTGTTTATCCACTGAGCTCCTCTCCATCACACTGTATGTCCTGCCATTTAGCTGCACAGCGTCCAAATGTAGCTGTCTGCGCTGCAGTCTAGAGAGGACATGATAACTCCAGGTCACTGAAGGGGGACGTTAGGCAGCCCAGCACATCCTCCAGACCAAAGAGCTTCCTGGTACCAGCTGCTAGAGCCTTTCTGGACCCCCGGGACTGGTCCTTACCACCGGGATTAAGTCAGCTGTCCTGAGAGGAAGAGGAGAGATATTTAGTCGCTTTGGATACTTTAGTTTGGAATTAGTTTTAGTTTAGAGTTTGGAATTTTCACTAAACAGCTTTTCATGCATGCCTTGGTCTAATTGTATTTGAATTTGAGTTAGCATAATTCTCTTCAGTTTTGAACAGAACAAATAAAACAAATATTAGAGGAACAAATGTGAAAGAATACATTCTCATGGTTTTGTAGAATACAATGCAAACTTACATTTTGGCATAATTTCACAAAATAATTCTATCAAAATAATTTTACAAAAATTAAACACTGCCTTAGAAATGTTTATAACACCACTTACAGCCACTTCCGGTTTCTGCTAAGCACCTATAGTTTGAGAATTTCTAAAAACCGCAGATCAGAATCCGACCTGGGCCGCTGCGGTAAGGACCCAGCCTACATGGAACATGTGCTCTACCAAGTGAGCTACCATGCGCCCCTAGTTTACAGATTTTGATCAAACAGAGTCACTGGTGATTACATGACTGTTACACTATAGGCATATAAATGTCCTAAAAGTAGCAGCACAACTGGATCACTGTCTCTGTATGTTTCCTTAAAAATAACAAATATCTGCACATTTATTAAAGATTTGCATTATTCTGTATTACAATGGGCAGATCACCCAAACCACAGTGAATAAACACTGCTCAAATACTGACTGGCAGCAACATGTTTTATTTTATTAATTTATTATTTGCCTTTGCAATTATTGATATTCTGGTGCAATAATGCTTATGATTAGAAATGTTTTACAATGTTTTGATTTTCAGCATCACATGACCTACTAGAAATGTGGTTGGCACTGTCGCCTCACAGCAAAAAGTCCTTCACCCTCAACTGACTTTTTCTTCAGAGAGATTTTGAAGGTTTTCTGTTGAGTTACAGAATCAGCAACTGGTAGAACTGTAGCTTTATAGACATGTCTGTAGAATTTCTTGCTGTAACTGCTCTCTGTTTCCAAAAGGAAAACCATGTTAGAAAAAGCAGCCCACTGCAACAAAAGATAACGAATATTCCACATTTCCAGGCATCTGTTTTGGAGCATTATAAACCACTGTGGTCACACCTTGAGACCTATGGATCTGTTACTCAAACTGGACTTTCTGAATCCTATTTAATGTTACACAGGCACCGGAAAAATACAGCTATTGACATTTAACTACTACGCATGGCTTTAATGCACTGTTGATTTCTGTCTGCCCCCTAGGGGCCTCATTGATGTGGTGTTCATGGTTTTGGCAAAATTAACCCTCATTAGTGAATGACACTGCCTCATTTTTTAAGGAAATGGCTCAGATGTTATCAGTGTGACAATACCACCTGCAGATGATGACTGTGAGATGAGGGTGATAACTCTGGAGAAAGCTAGTAAGTGGACCTTGAAGTTAAGTTATTTTGCCAATGCTATACTTTTCCCGAGCTCAAAAATTGACTTTCATTCTGATGTCTGCAAAAAGATTGATTCCACATTTCACCATCTACCATTGCCAGATATGTGTTGTCTTAAGATGAATATAGTAATGTTTTATTGATGTTAAAATGTTACAGATGTCACCTAAATAAAACAATACAGCCACCTATTCCATTACCTTCCCTCTGTGTGTAATCCCATTCTGTACAAGCTCTCCTGTGGCATCTGACTTCTCCTGAGAGTCCATGCTGCACCGAGTGGAAAATGCCTGTTGCTGCCCGTTATTTTGGTTTTCCCAGCGGGCAAATCCTTTATTTTTAGATGTTTTCCTATTAGTCCTATATTTCATTTTGGGGAACGTGTGGGAGCCACCATCTGTTGTTCCCCAGCTGTGTTCGGGCCACAAGGGCTCAGTTTGGGTGGCCTGGCTTGTGGTGGCCCTCTGCAGGCGCACAGAGATCCTCTGGGCTGAGCCAGTCATAAGGGTGATGGACTGAGGATCCAGAGCTGGACCTGCTGAGGTGACAGTTGGGAACTCAAACACCTCATCCTCATCTGAAGGAGGGAACACAGAAAATAGGAACAGATCTGCTGTGAGAGTGATTAGAGTTTGGCAACAGTGATTGTAATTTTGCAATTAAATAAATAACTAAATAATTTGTATAGATTTTTTTTTTTGCTGTTTGTGATGTTTTGTTCAATAAATGTAGCTGAAGATGACCTTCACAGGTTGGCAATGAAGGGCTGCTGGGCAGTGAGCTATGGGTCAGTCTGGCTGGAGAAACATTGCCCAGAGAACTGGAGCGAATCAGCTTCCTACAGGCCAGAACCAGCAGCTCCCGACATTGTTTATGACAGTTTACTCCACAGTCTGCAAAGTAATATAGACATATTAGCTTATGTTCAGGACAAAAGTTTCAAGAGAGTCAAATGGACAGGCAGATAATACTACTTGATTTCCAGATAGTAGCATGATCTGGGGTTCATGTATGAAAATCCAAAGTGTCCGTTCAGTTTCACATTTCTTAAAAGGGTCAATTGGCCCAAAACCTGGACAAATAACGGTAAATGGACCTGTACTTGTATAGCGCCTTTCTAGTTTTCCAACCACTCAAAGTGCTTTTACACTACATCCCACATTTGCCCTTTCACACACATTCACACAGCGATGGCAAAGCCCATTGAACAAAAACTACCAATGCACAGCATCAGGAGCAATTTACGGTTCAGTATCTTGCTCAAGGATACTTCGACATTAGGCAGGAGTAGCCAGGGATCAAACCAATAACCTTCCGATTAGGGGACGACCTGCTCTGCCTCTACACCACAGCCGCCCTACCTAGATTTGAGTAGGGGAAAATTTTGTAATAAGGGTACAAGTGTTCCATCTTAGTTTATCTGGCGACTCATGTTCTTTTACAACATTAGATTGTTTCATTGTGCATCTTATAATTTTTTAATATAATTATTTTGCTATATTTTAATTTGGCATGCCTTACAGTTAAACAGTACAGACAAATATTAAACTAAGACCAATTTTCACAATTGAAAACAAAACAAATTATTTAGCAGGCTGTCATTTTTATAGCTCATTCATCTTTAAAACTAAGAAATCCATAATATAATGTAAAAACATCACTAGTACAACAGAACATCTAGACCGAAAGACAGACCAAAAAAACTACTTATGTACAGTAATGAAGTATTTGTATGTAGAAATTTTTGCAAATGTATTAAAAAAGAAAAACTGAAATATGCCACTGTGCTCTTAGGAACCTTGAGCTGCTGGCAGGAAATTTGGCCATCTGGCGCCAGGGTTTACAAGGTTTACTGGCATTCTTGAATGGGTGCCCTTGCCCCAAACAAATTCGTGGCTTCTCTGAGCTACCTCATTGGGGGCAGTTCCTAATCGACCTCATGATTCTCATAATTGCTAACTGACATGCACTAGGGAAGCCCTAGATAAAGGTCATAAACCAAAAATAATATAGACAGGTGCTGTGCCTTCTTCCATAACTCAAGTCCAAATCAGTTTAAATAATAAAAACACAAGCTGGCAAGCCTCAAATGCAAGGGTGAGCAGAAACACATCTCAAGGGAGGATCAGGACCACGAAATGGAAACAGCATCAATGCTGGAGTTAAAATATCACAAGCAAAAGGCGTCTGGGAAATAAGCTAAAAAAAAGAATAAACATAATCCACT